TCAGAATACTCAAAAGGTCACTCTCACTTTAGGGTCACCAATCAACCTATTCTGCATGTCTCAGGGAAGAAGCCGGAGCACCCAGAGAGAACCCACGCAGACACGTTGAGAACATGCAAACTCCACACAGAAAGCTTTGAACCTGGGACCTTCTTGCTGTGAGGCCACAGCACTATCCACCTGACCAACATGCCCCCTCTCGTAAACTTAAAATTTACAAAATGCCCATTTGCCCAGATAGAACTCCATTATTACAATTCAAGTTCTCTTTGTTAGTATCATCTTCTCACAACATCTTCCGTCATTTCTACATTTAACAGACACAAAATAAGGCAAATTTTGCGTAAAGATAAATAGACAAAGTAATTGACTGCTTGATCAGATAATTAACCAGCAACAATTTTGATAATCAATTTGCTTTCATTCTTTTTTGCAATATGTTGAAAATTCTCTATTTCTAGATTCTTAATGAGATTTTTTGGTGTTAAGTGATAATAACTTGAATCTTGAGCTAAATAAAATTTCCTTTACTACTTACTTGCATAATTTTATTCCATCAGCAGCACTTTTACTTAAATAATATAAAAAGGAGCTTTAAATGTGGAGTTTTATGGAATCATAAGCAAATAAAGATAGCTAATAAAGATTGTTTAAAATAAGAATTCCCACGCTATGCAAATCTTTAAGTCAGGTAGACGAGGTAATGGAAAAATATCAGGGTCTCTGTAGGTTTCACCTGGTCAAATTTAAGACTTTTTAAAACCTTTTTAAGACCATTATGAATGAAATTTAAGACCTATATCACAACTTAAAAAAAAGAAACGCATAAAGGAAATGCAGTCACAAAATTACTTGCAGAGTAATTTGCACAGCATATTCAAATTAGGGTTAAGTGATGTCTGCAATGAGACACCGGGATGGACGATGACACTGATAAGTTACGTAATTAAAAAGCTGGCATGCGGTGCACCTGCTGACGTGAAAAATGGATCACCGGTAGAAAAAGAAAAAATACAGTTCTGTGTCTTTTTGGTGACTTTATAAAATTTAACCTACTGCTGATGGAGAAACTCAGGGGAGCAGACAGGGAGACAGAGAGAAGCAAGGAAAGCTGGTGTGTTTGCAGTGAGAGACCAGAGGTAAAAGTGTGTATGTGAGTGAGTGCAGGGAGAAGAGAAGTTAAGGCAAGCGCAAAGCAGGTACATTTACAAATAATAATAGAAATAATGTCCATGGGGATTAAAACATGCTTTCACAGGGCGGTCTAATGGAAAAAATTAAGATGGTATGTTTGTGTGGGGGATTGGAGGTCCTCCCCCAAGAAAATTATGTTTTCCAATAAAGAAATATGCAATTCCACATAATTTTGGAATATTGTTATTACCACATCTGTGAATAAGTAGGAAAATCTAGAGCAGATGCTCTCCACAGTGATTTTATATTCATTGCGCATCACCAAGCTGTTTTGAGCCTCACCACCTTATAATGGCAGAAGAAATTAACAAATAGGCAACATGAGAACCACCTCCCTTCTGTATTATTACAAGCATTCCATTTGTACATCAACATCCAAAAGAATAATCTCCTCATTAGCTTAAAAGGACTAATGTTAGCTTGCATCCCTAATTTGCTTTAATGTTACCAACTTCAGCTCCTCCGTGGTCAACACTGTCCTTTTTTAATTTAACTATCAAGATGTACAGTAGAGGTCAGAGCTGTAACCTGACAACTTAACGTTGATCTTATTCTCCACTAAATTTCACCGTCACTTTCTGCCACTCTCCCTCATATTCGCTCGTCATTTGAAGAACGAGGAGAAGGAGACAGCCATGCAATGAGTATTACTGTAGCTTATTGATAATCATCAAGGTGTGAAATTTTAATAGCGGCGCTCATTCATTAAGCAGCGACAGTAGGCTTCAAATACGTTGCTAGAGACTGGTTTTAAGCCCTAAGATCTGTTTTTCCATCCAAGAAACAATAAGGTTGCACTTCCCCTTAGCTGAAGAATAAATCTGTTTTATATCTGTGGTACAATCGGAAAGAGACTTGCGGCAATAACACGAAAGCTGCCTGTTGGTCTTTGTAATTGTAATACAGCGAATTATATTTGGACCGATTTGGACTAGCAACAGAACCCATAGGAAAGCAAAATCCAAGATGAGATCTCATAGTTGTTTCCTTCTTTTCTCCTGAGCTGCTTTTAATACGAAGGTGAGACCAAAGGCCTTTTCTCCCACTTCTCAAATTCATCTCAGGAGAAACAACCATATAAAATCTCATTTATGTCTGACTCTGATCAAAACAAGAGATCTCTAACTGATCTTAAATAAGTCTAATTTAAGTCTCCTGAACATTGGACCATGAGATCAGAGAAAGAGCTCAAAGAAAACTCAGCTATGACTCCTGGGATCTCATGATTTTTCTGGAATATGTCTCAGTTTTCTCATATTGGCCTCAGGAGCAAAAACTCATCTCTGTCTTACTCTGATCAAAAGATGAGATCTCTACAGTATCTTAAATAAGTGTAATTTCAGTCTCCAGAATGAGGATCAGAAAAAAAGCTCCAAGATTTTTCTCAGTTTTCTCCTACTGACCCCACCTAGGGGTTATTTTACTCAAGTACTTTACTTACGTCAAATGTTGAGGTTGAGTATTTTCTTTATTGTATTTATTGTTAATTATCTGTTACAAGTTACTGAGAAAAATAAACTAAATTTTGACATTGAAAATAATGCACTTTCAAATGTCATGTTTTCCAATTTGTTAAGGTAGTCACAGCCAGCATAACTGGAACACCCAATACTTTAACATGATGTTTAGAGATTAATTCATTAATGATTGAATGCACGCAAGAACTGATACACAACAAGTATCTGTCATCCAGAATAAGCACTTTTACTTTTGATACTTAAGTACATTCACTATGGAATAACTTTATACCTTTTACTTAAGTAGTATTTTGAGGACTTTAAATGTGGATATGGTATTTCTCCTCTTTTAAGTAAAGGAAAATAGTACTCTATTTAAAGACAATAAGTGCTCCATTATTAATTTTAGCTGGATGGCGCAGCAGCAGTGTTGTTGCCCTTTGAACAGCAGGAGCGGGGTTCAAATCCAGCTCAGGGCCTCCAGCATGGTTCACCAAGCATAGACAGTAACAAACATCTCCCCTGAGCTCCCAAGCAGTTGGGGGAGCAATAAGCAAGACATTAATGAACTCAAAAAGATACAATGATGAGATCTCATCTTTTACTTTCATTTATCCTATTGTAATCTCAATTCAGTATCCATTTGTCTTACCTGAGTCTCAAAACCTCAATCTCTCTTCATCTCATCCTTTTCTCCTAAGGGGTTTTAGGAGCAACAATTCAGATTGGAGTGATACTTGAGCGCTGCGGGGCCATTTCAATGAGCATTAGAGGTAGCGTTACATGGACATTGGAAAATAAATACCTGTTTAAAATTATTTAAGACCTAGAACACAAACTTCAGCGAATTTAAGTTTTTAAGGCCTTAAATTTTGTTTTTGAAATTGTCATCATCTACCTGACAGGTGCTGTTATCAGAGCAGCTCCTTTAATCTGGAAGTCTCAGAGTGTTTGCTTGTCCGAGTGACAGAAAGTGACTGAATCTAAGAGGAGGAAAATATTCTGGCAGTAAAAGTACCGTGTCAGCGTGTCAGGTAATACATGCTAAAATGCTAGAAAGCTAGCACTGCATGCTCATCGGTGCCCCCCACACACTAAAAAGCATTACATTTTTTAAATAGACTGCTTAAGCCTTATTTAGCTTCAACTAAACTTAGCTTCCTAAATCCTGTGTCCTCCTATGGGGAATTTAGGTTTTGAGATCCATGCACCATATACTTCATTCTGCTCAACTCAGACTTCATTGTCCTCATTAGTGGGCACATGCCTGTGCCCTCTAGGGTCACTTGCCAGCCATGTTCTGATGTCTGTTTCTTCTTTGTTACACATTGGGTACACAAACTAGGGCTGTCGCGGTGAAGTAATTTCCACCGCGGCAATATGTTGGGGCTCAACAGCGCGGTATGCAGTATTATCGCATTTTAAGCAAGTAATTTGGTGCCATCTAGCAGAGTAAGTGTGTCTGTATCTGTCACCTCACTGCACAGCGAGCTGCTAATAGCAGCTTTGTGGTCTGAGCATGCTAGCTGCTGCGTGCTAGTCAACAACAAACTTCTTTTTGTAGTTTGACCATGTCTTTTTCAGACGTAGCTATCATTACCTGCAGGACATGTCTATCAAGTAAATTTACAAACCGCAGCAACGCAGGCACGTGCACACACTAACATGAGCGCCGGTGTGGAGCAGAATGGCTGTCCACAATTAACCACTGTGCTGTAGTAACGTTATAACTAAATTTCCACAGAAAGCAACATGAAAAACAGCTGCAGGCTTCCGACACATTACGCTCCTTAGTTAGTGAGATCCACAGTTTCTCTGGACTGTCTCCCAGGATCACGTTAGTCCAACATCGCCGAGCCTGCTAGCCACATTAGCCGCGCAATATGCTAACGCCAAGTTAGCTAACCTTTAAAATAAACAGTATTTAAATTTTGTGGTTATCGCGACAGCCCCAACACAAACTCATTTTTTTCTAAAAGTATGCCCTGTTCAAAGACAATGCTATTAATATAGCTACACACAGAATCAAAGCCCAGGTCTTGGGAAGTTTGGGAAATTTTTTTTCATGAAAGGAGAAGAGTAGATTTGTCCCTAATATCTAACAATTTGGCCATGCCTATGAAGGGGATGCTAATAGCCAACAATAACCTTTTCACTGTACACATCATATTTTAGCACTGTTTTGAGATAGACTACAAAAAAACACTAACCTATCCTTTCATCTCTTTAAACCTGTCAGCTGCTGGAAGAGGTAATCGAGTTGGTTTTCCGTAGTACATTTCATTACATTTACACTTCATATTACTTGTTGTTGATATTGACATTTCTGTGAGTACACTGAGTACTTACATTACAGGTTTTGAAGACGTCAGTCATCCACTAGCAGGTTCACTGGGAGGCCACGGAGGGTCGGCATCTCATGTGTACCTCGTGTTGTTTCTAGATTGACAATCAAAATAATTATTATTATACAAATATTTTTACAGCACATCAAGCCATAAAGTGTAACAGATCTATCAATGTAATTCTAAAATAATAATATTGATAGCACTAACAACAAATCCATCCAGCTGGTCAAATTTAAACAAACACAGTGACTCAAACAATGGGTGAGAAATAGAAGCTAACTATAGAAATGACAATTGAAAGTAAATGGTTCTATCCTGCTAGTCATCACAGGACAATATCATAATCAAATTTCACTATTATAGTACAGAGGTCCCAATCTGTATTGACTGACCATTATGTGATCAACATTGTTGCTACAGCAAAGATAATCTTAAATTCATCTGGAGATCATAAATCCTGAGAAACTCTGCAGGGCCTCTGCTCTCTTGGCCTTCTGCCTGTACAAGGCAATCCGTTGTAGTTTTTACCTGAGAAATGGACATGGACCACTGCATTGACAAGAAAATAAAATGCATCTTGCAAATATCTTTAACCAAACTTAGGTTTTGCTGCATCAAAATGAAAGATTATGTGGGTCAGAATTGAGTTAGCCAATCAAATATTTTTTTAACTAGACTAATTGTAGTTGTTGTAGTTGTAGTGTAGACTAAAGTTTTCATCATTTAGCTTCTGTCTCAAGCAACATTGCCATTTGTGGTCTAAACAGGGTTGAGACAGAATTTCAGTCAGGTACTAAATAGTTTAAGAAACATAAAGGAGTCATTCAACCATCTCATCATAACGTTAGCATAACAGGAATGCGGCAAACTGACTCCATATACTGCCTCCGGTCATGCCAATGTACGGTTATAAAATAAAGTCACAGAACTGAGAAAAAAAAAACACTTTCACAGCGCTGCCAAGAAAGCTGTGTTCTCTCGAACTTTGTAAATTAGATATTAATTAACAGTTTTTCAATCAACATTGTGCAACAGGCTTCCCTGTTTGGTGGGCATGTCAGAGGTGTTATCCAATCAGCTTCGACACATTGTAGTAAAAATCTGTGTGCTTGCGTACACAACTGTGTGTTCAAGGCACCACGCGACGTCAAGGTCCTCCGGTCGTGCCCTCGCTCACGCCACGCCCCCTTCATATCTCAGCATCATTTGCCGCCAAAATTTCGTGACGTACGAAGCTTGGACGTCATCGGTCATGTGGAATGGTCATATATATAAGCAGCAACACGCGCTTTGGGAAAGTAAAACAACTGTCTACGTTGTGTACCAAAGATCCTGTCCTTGGACTTGGGTAAGTCTGTCCTATTTATTAAACCATTGTTTTGTATTTTAAAGAAGCAGTGTTGTAGAATAACTTGATATTGATTTTCACCATGACCTCCAGCTGGCTGGTTTTGTCTTGAAACAGAATTCCGAGGAGCTAATGTGACCGAGCTGATGGCTATCTTAAATGGGCCATTAAATTGAGAAGCTAACGTTAAGTAACTTACGAGTTAATGTCAAACTACACCATGTTGGCAAGAGGTAATGTCATTGTCATCGTGGAAGAGTAATTTTGTTGAATCTTCCATATATCAGTTAAAATGTCAGAGTCAACATGTGAGGAGTTGGCTAACATTAAACAAGCCAACTTTAGCTTGATGTACTGTAGATATTGTAAGTTCCAGTTTCGTACAGCCAGACAGAGCCGTTCTTCACATGCGCAAAATCTGTTCTGTCAGTCACAGAAGGTTACCGCAAATCTACCTATTCAAAATGATCCTACTAAATCTTTCATGTCGAGATAACAATGTTTTTAATCACAGGAGATTCTAGGATGTAATATGACTATACTTTACATATTAAACGTTTAAAAAATGTGAGCAACACAAAGGAGGCTAACCCTAGCTGCTAGCACATCGGCCTTAGGCCCACAGCTGTAGGGTTAGCCGGTCGATATTTATACAATTGCTGACTTAGGTTTAGGCACACACCCTGATGGTTAGGATAAGATGCTTTGGGAAGCTCTCAACGCAGGGGTTAGGGTTAGCAGGGGTTAGGTTTATCTCTGCTTCTTAAGTTTTGGTGTAAGTTAGTTTAATATAATGCTGCAACATCTGCCTCATACACACCAAGCAAATTCAGCAGACCTTTTATTCAAAACAACTTACAATTGCTATATATGTTAAAGGTGGCATGCCTCTGGAACAACTAAGAGTTAAGTGTCTTGCTCAGGGACACATTGATGAATGTGTCACAGTTGAAATCGACCACAGGTCTCTCTCACCAAAGGCATGTGTCTTATCCACTGCTCCACAACCAATAAATAGCTCATCACTGTATGTAGACTTATTTAGCAAGTTTAGCTTTTGAGTGTAGTTCATCAAAATCTTACTCTACGTGTGATTCACAAACAATGTTCCAAATTTATGTTGAATTGCATTTTCCTTTATTGGAAAATTTTTACATTTTACACCCTGCGAAAGCATGTTTTAATCCCCACGGACCATATTTTTATTAATGTACCTGCTTTGCACCGGCCTCGACTTCTCCCTGCACTCACACTCACACACTGAAAACACACCGGCTTTCCCCACCTCTCTCTCCCGGTCTGCTCCCCTGAGTTTCTCTATAAGCAGTAGATTATATTTTATAGAGTCGCAGAAAGTTAAGTTCGCTCCAAACTACTCGCGTTGTTAACACCTACGCTCGTTAGGCCTACTGTAAGTACATGCAATAAAACCTTCCAGAGTAAAAAGACAGTACTTTATCCTGTCTGTAAGGTAAATCATCTCTGTCCTGTCTGTCACCCTGTAGGTGTTATTTACTAGCACAGCTAATGTCCATCCATCTTTAAACGCTTATCCTGCGTACAGGGTCACGGGGGGCTGGAGCCAATCCCAGTTGACATCAGGCGAAAGGCGGGGTACACCCTGGTCAGGGCAGGGCCACACATAGACAAACAACCAGTCACACTCACACAACAATTTAGGCTCACCAGTTAACCTAGGCCGCATGTCTTGGACAGTGGGAGAAAGCTGGAGCACAGCTAATATTAACTTGGCAATAACCCAAATGTTAAAAACAAGCTAAATAGAAAGCTGTCTGTCTGCAGCCTTAAAATTTGGCACATTGTAGTAAACTCAGCGGCTGGCTGATATAAACCAGCCGCTCCTCCTTCTACCAGGTAACGTTACCTGCAGGCAGTGAATAACAGCAGAGGGGAGAAGGAAGAGTAGGAATGATACAGACTGAGATTTTATTCTTTCTAAACATCATTCAGTATTATGATGTAAACATTAATGTTGCTGCTCTAGAAACAGTATTTAGCTGTATTTAAAATATTAAATTCTAAAAAGCATGAAGGCGTGTCAGTAGGACGATGTCTGGCTGCTCTGCTACCTCACCCCCTCCATCTACACCAACAGACAAATCAGATCTGAATGTTTCTATCTCGGTTCAGTTCCCTGATGAGACGCTGCGGAGCGTTCAGCTGCTCAACATGATTGTAGCTGTCATCGATTCCACACAGGTAACAACTGATCAGGACTCACCTCTGCAGAACCTTTAGTCTGGTTCTGATCTAGGTTGTGTTCAGTAAGCAAGTCTCTCTGTGTTGGCAGGGGCTAATGTGTCACATGATGATGGGGAGCCTGGGGATGTTCAGGAAGGACTTTGTGCTCAGCATCCTCAGTGAGACACAAGTTTTCCATCTGTCCTCGCGTCATCTTCATGGTCCCACCTGCCCTCGCGTCTTCTTCGTGTGCCCACAGTTTAGTCTCTAGACTGGGAGACCTTCGAGCAGTACAGCACCTGGCAGCAGTTTCTGGCGCAAATCATCCCCCCTGGAGACAATCATCCCATCCTGCAGCACCTTAAATATAAAGGTGAGTGGTGTCCCTGTCCAGTGTGATCAGTCCTGACTCCTTTGACTTTGTGTTCCTAGAACACCCGGAGGCCTTGTCCTGTCAGCTGCTGCTGCTCCGCAGAGAAGTATGACAGGAACGCTGGGCTTCCAATCACGACAACATGCTGGGAGAACACATCAAGGCCCAGCTGATCAAGAACACGATGTTCATTTAGTAAATTTATGGTTCCATTTAGAGGAAAAAAGACCAGAAAGCAGGGGAGGCTTTAGGGCGGGGCTACCTTGTGATTGACAAGTCGCTATGTGTGACCTAAATATGGTACCCCATGGATGTTCAGTCTGTGTTCAGGATGTAGCTGAACACTTTTCTCACAGCTGGACAGGTAGGCTGGAATAAAATACAGCTGCTTGTTACTTCCTATAAATTGAACAAAAAGACGTTCTGTTAGATGTTTATTAACCTGCTTCACTTCTCCAGCCGTTTGGGAACAGACTTGTTGGACTCAGACTACTTTTACTGCCAGAATATCTTCCTTCTCTGAATTTCACCCTCACATTCTGTCACTCTGAGACCTCCAGATTAAAGGAGCTGCTCTGATAACGGCACCTGACAGGGGAGGGGGGGGGGGGTCTTACAAAGTCTACGTACCGCTAATGCTCATTGAAATGCCCCCGCAGCACTCAAGAATGTGTGGGTTTTTTTTCCTCCTGTGGTGGTGTAGTTCTTTCTGTCACTAGTCCAAATCGGTCCAAATATAATTGGCTGTATTACAACTCTGTATTACAGCTCTGTCATCTACCTTACATATCAATAGTTAAATTAACTTAAAAAAAAGGACGGTGTTGACTACGGAGGAGCTGAGGTTAGTGACGTTAAAACAAATGTTTTTGTTTTTTTAAGTTGTGATAAGTCTTAAATTTCATTCATAATGGTCTTAAATTTGACCAGGTGAAATGAAACCTTGATTCTTTTCCATTACCTTGTCTACCTGACTTAACAATTTGCATAGCATGGGACTTCTTATTTTAAACAATCTTTATTAGCTATCTTTATTTGCTTATGATTCCAAAAAACTCCACATTTAAAGCTCCCTTTTATTATTTAAGTAAAAGTGCTGCTGATGGAATAAAATTATATAATTATTTTATTTAGCTCATGATTCAAGTTATCACTTGACACTAAGAAT